TTAGCCGCCTGCTGTTATTCTACATGGTTAGCTGCCTGCTGTTATTCTAAATGGTTAGCTGCCTGCTGTTATTCTACATGGTTAGCTGCCTGCTGTTATTCTAAATGGTTAGCTGCCTGCTGTTATTCTACATGGTTAGCTGCCTGCTGTTATTCTACATGGTTAGCTGCCTGCTGTTGTTCTACATGGTTAGCTGCCTGCTGTTATTCTACATGGTTAGCTGCCTGCTGTTATTCTACATGGTTAGCTGCCTGCTGCTATTCTAAATGGTTAACTGCCTGCTGTTATTCTAAATGGTTAGCTGCCTGCTGTTATTCTACATGGTTAGCTGCCTGCTGTTATTCTACATGGTTAGCAGCCTGCTGTTATTCTAAATGGTTAGCTGCCTGCTGTTATTCTAAACGGTTAGCTGCCGGCTGTTATTCTAAACGGTTAGCTGCCTCCTGTTATTCTAAATGGTTAGCTGCCTGCTGTTATTCTACATGGTTAGCTGCCTGCTGTTATTCTACATGGTTAGCTGCCTGCTGTTATTCTACATGGTTAGCAGCCTGCTGTTATTCTAAATGGTTAGCTGCCTGCTGTTATTCTATATGGTTAGCTGCCTGCTGTTATTCTAAATGGTTACCTGCCTGCTGTTATTCTACATGGTTAGCTGCCTGCTCTTATTCTACATGGTTTATCTGCCTGCTGTTATTCTAAATGGTTAGCTGCCTGCTGTTATTCTAAATGGTTAGCTGCCTGCTGTTATTCTACATGGTTAGCTGCCTGCTGTTATTCTAAATGGTTAGCTGCCTGCTGTTATTCTACATGGTTAGCTGCCTGCTGTTATTCTAAATGGTTAGCTGCCTGCTGTTATTCTACATGGTTAGCTGCCTGCTGTTATTCTACATGGTTAGCTGCCTGCTGTTGTTCTACATGGTTAGCTGCCTGCTGTTATTCTACATGGTTAGCTGCCTGCTGTTATTCTACATGGTTAGCTGCCTGCTGTTATTCTAAATGGTTAACTGCCTGCTGTTATTCTAAATGGTTAGCTGCCTGCTGTTATTCTACATGGTTAGCTGCCTGCTGTTATTCTAAATGGTTAGCTGCCTGCTGTTATTCTACATGGTTAGCTGCCTGCTGTTATTCTAACTGGTTAGCTGCCTGCTGTTATTCTAAATGGTTAGCTGCCTGCTGTTATTCTACATGGTTAGCTGCCTGCTGTTATTCTAAATGGTTAGCTGCCTGCTGTTATTCTAAATGGTTAGCTGCCTGCTGTTATTCTACATGGTTAGCTGCCTGCTGTTTGCTTTCAGACATGCGACACAAGTTAGAAACAGACTACTAACAGGGCTTACAGATGTGTTAACAGCTCGAGGTTTCCCAACTGAGCAGGAATATGCCCGGAAAGTTGATTGAAATAAAGATCCCTGGTGGCAGAGGGAGGCAGGTTATGACAAACACTTCTGTACGCTATGTACGGATGCTGTGAAGTACCAGTAACAGTTGTGTGTCTCATGCCTTGTACATGGCTGGCTGTTATGGCAATGAGGTGTCATCCAAGCATGCTTTTCAACTGGGGTGAGGAGAGCTCTAGAGACACAGAGGGGTCATCCAATCCAAGCATGCTTCTAGGTCTGAACATGACAATGGGCCGTGCTCTCCTTGAGCCATTAGACTAGGCGAGCTGCAGCTTAGGAGAATTCTTTAGCAGAAGAACAACAGTAGAGTTTAAACTCTTTGTTGCCAATGCAAAGAACAAGATCGAAAATGACAATGGGACATGCACTCCTTGCCTTGACGTTACGAACAATTATGACGCGGTAGAGGATTCTACGATTCATTCTTACAAGGACTTTAGCCTAGTGAGAGATGTGATGCTGTCTGGAATTGAGCCGCCCAATGCGTTTTCTTGAAGATAACTGCGTGGGATGAGTCACAGAAAGTGATGAGATGAAAAACGCAGGCATGGCTGGAAGAAGGGAGACCTCTGCCTCTGGGCACACTCAGGTAGGTGGGCACACTCAGGTAGGTGGGCACACTCAGGTAGGTGGGCACACTCAGGTAGGTGGGCACACTCAGGTAGGTGGGCACACTCAGGTAGGTGGGCTCACTCAGGTAGGTGGGCACACTCAGGTAGGTGGGCACACTCAGGTAGGTGGGCACACTCAGGTAGGTGGGCTGGGCTCACTCAAGCCTCCCAAGGGGGGATGAGACGAGTATGGTGGGATGGGATGAAAAGCATTGTTTGGCTCGGCACACAGAGGGGAACGAGTAGTGGTGGAAAACTTGAAACATATTCACACAATTCTCTCTGGCTGATGGCAGGAGCATCAGCGGGAGAAGTGAAACTATAATTGGCACAAAAGAGGAGGGAGAATATGGACAGAGATGGAGGCTGGAGGACACTGGGTAGACACGGGAGAGGTTGGGGAGTGGATGCACAGACTAGATGTTCCCCAACCTACAGATATTATGTAGATCACATGTTCAGTACATACAAACTCACAAGCACACAAACACAGTGATAGAGAAAAAGGGCATCTGAACCATTTCACGATTCGTGAATTCGCTGCATGAAACGATTCTGTGCGGTGAAATTTGGTGACCGGGTTTTACCGTTCAGTTGAATTCAACTTCAGGTTCGAGGTTGGATTGTGGACCTTCCACGTGGCACCAATCTGGGCAGATAGCCGCCACCTTACCGATTCTGGAGCTCACCCATTTGTGAGCAGCAAACCAGCATTGGTGGTTTGAGTGCAAAAACCGCCCGTCCACTGGTTCTTTCTCCGACACACAGGTAGGTGTGGGGGAGGTGGGAGGTGCAATGCGAAAGATTCTCTTGCTTGCTCCGTAAGAACACGGCGAAGCCAAAAGCATTAAGAATCCTTACCAAAGGCCTATCCCAAACATGCCAAGAACATGTGGCTACTCACAGACATGCGCAAAGGCACGAACCCCTGTTCGGTTCCACACTCACGCAATTGGTCCACTTGAGTAAAACTGTCGAACAGCGTCGAACATAGACAAGTTTGACTGTTTGAAAGCGGTTAATTGAATTTCTTGCCAATCTACTTGTTTTTATGTGTCCCCCCTCCTTATGAAATCCCCACTCCCCCTACTTGAGTTTCAACGAACCAAGGGCAGGGAAAAGTTGTTTCCTGCCCTAAATGTGGCTATAGAGAGTGAATGGACTTTTCGAACTGAACACTTTGGGTGGGCGAACAGTCGAACACCACTCTCTGGGTATGATGATGTTTTATCATCATATCCAGAACCCATGTTTGCAATCTATGATGGGGCGAGCATGTTAAAGAACGTCTGTTGCTCATATCTACTTTCTGCAAGCAGTCATCACGAGCAGCTTACAGCAAGGTTAGAGAGGTAAGCTTTCCGACAGCAGGTGGAATTGGTCCGTTAAGCTGATTCCCCCACAGACTCCTGGCATGGGGGTTGGAAATCGGGTATAATTACCTCCCACATCATTCACTCACAACAACTGCGTTCTTCATGGCATTTGGGCATGGGTGCTGCTTTATGATCGCATGACTAACGCAGCAACGAAGAAGCAGCAGCAGAAAATGAAGTGGCAACAAGAGACAGCATAATGAGTGATCAGTCCAGTCCATCACAGTAGATAGGAAGATGCATATTGTAGTGGTTGGATGGATGGAATGGAAGTGGTAGCCATGTGGAGAAGAAGTGCCGATACGTGTCAGCCCAAAGGCTCATGCATGCATGCTCTGAACCTGGGGCGAGGAGAGCATTAGGGACACATTTATGGCGGGTGGAAAGCTTAGCGCATTATACAATGCCATGCTCCCAGGCCATATATCTGGAGCACACGTCGCTTCCTAGAGTGAGACTGTGCTCAGACCAAAAGAGCTTGCATTGCAGCGCTGCCCATCTCCCACTGCTTACAAGTGCCTCAATGAAACGAGGTTTGAAATCCCATCTGGAATAGACCCAGTGAGGTGACACCAGTCCATGGTTCTGGTGTCGGGTGGGCGTGATTGAATGGAACAGTAAACAGGTGGATAATACTGCCGTATACGTGGAAGGTAAAATGAGAATTGGAGTGTTTGTCTTTGAGTACGGTGCGTCCATGCTCCTGTTTTGTTGTGCCATGGAAGGGGACACGAATACAGGGGAGCGAATAGGAGGGACCACATACATATGGAAGACGAAATTAGCAGGGAGGACATGATTGAGTATCTAAAGGTCTGAAAAGCGTTGCTTTGCATCACTGACCTTTCGTTCGATGGAACAGAATTGATGCACTTCTAGTGATAGCTAGTGTGCCATTTGCCTGCTCTAGCTGTATAGCTTTTAAGTTCTCTCATGAGCTTCCTCATTCTTTCCTCACGTGAGGTAAGATTACCACGAGAAAGAATGCACTCTAGAGCAGGCGAGCTTAACATCTCTCATAAGGCTCTTACAGTTCTCTCAGTGAAGTGAGAGAGGAGATGCTATGAGGAATAGACCCGTTCAGAGGGTTGACCCCCAAATATCTATGTGGGGTGGGTGGGTGGGTTGAAAGAAAGGAAGAGTTGCAGACACTGACGGTGACACACGCAACACGGAGTCTGGGAAGTCACAGCAAGCAAGCAGGTCACCAGCAGCATGTGTCGGGCCCAGTCCAAATTAGAGAGAGAATATTACACACTTACATGCTGGTAATCATGCCTGCAGCGTTACAGGTGAGCCCTTCATTCATGGCACAGTCTGTATTTACGGCCCAGCTTGGAAACGCCGTTCCCCATGCCTTCTGACAGTCTATGAAAAAACTTGCTGACAGTTGGAGACAGGAGAGGAGAGGGAAGGAGAGAGGAGACAGTTAATATGTACTCGCTACAGCTCCTGGCGCGCGTCATATCTCGCCCGGACATCGACAAGAGCGGAGTGGATGGGGACGGAAGATGCTCCACACTGTCAACCCACCCACCCACCCCACATAGAAATTCAGTTGAAAAGAGGAAGAAGCAGTGGGCTCACTGCCCGCGGCATACCGGGGCCGCGGTATGGGCGCAGCCTCACTCGCTCTGCCACTCAGTGGGCTGGGACTGGCCGACCCGCAGTGGCCGGCAGCAGTGGCCGACCAGCAGTGGCCGACCAGCAGTGGGGGGGGTGTGTCGCCAGCTACACCCAAGCAGCGCAGCCGATAGCGTTGCTCCCATGTCAAAGATGAAACCGATAGCATTGCTCCCATGTCGAAGATGAAACCGATAGCGTTGCTCCCATGTCAAAGATGAAACCGATAGCGTTGCTCCCATGTCGAAGATGAAACCGATAGCGTTGCTCCCATGTCAAAGATGAAACCGATAGCTAGCGTTGCTCCCATGTCAAAGATGAAACCGATAGTGTCGCTCCCATGTCAAAGATGAAACTGATAACGTCGCTCCCATGTCAAAGATGAAACCGCGGCTTTGCAAAGGCTTCGTCCTCCCTGGGAATGTTTTGTGTTGGAGCCTGTTGGGGAGCTCTGGTAGGAACCAAGGAGCACTCTCGTGATGATGGGTCCCTTGCAACCCGCTCAAACGACCGGCTCAAGGAAGGAACCAAGGAGCACTCTCGTGATGATGTGTCCCTTGCAACCCGCTCAAACGACCGGCTCAAGGAAGGAACCAAGGAGCACTCTCGTGATGATGTGTCCCTTGCAACCCGCTCAAACGACCGGCTCAAGGAAGGAACCAAGGAGCACTCTCGTGATGATGTGTCCCTTGCAACCCGCTCAAACGACCGGCTCAAGGAAGGAACCAAGGAGCACTCTCGTGATGATGTGTCCCTTGCAACCCGCTCAAACGGCCGGCTCAAGGAAGGAACCAAGGAGCACTCTCGTGATGATGTGTCCCTTGCAACCCGCTCAAACGACCGGCTCAAGGAAGGAACCAAGGAGCACTCTCGTGATGATGTGTCCCTTGCAACCCGCTCAAACGACCGGCTCAAGGAAGGAACCAAGGAGCACTCTCGTGATGATGTGTCCCTTGCAACCCGCTCAAACGACCGGCTCAAGGAAGGAACCAAGGAGCACTCTCGTGATGATGTGTCCCTTGCAACCCGCTCAAACGACCGGCTCAAGGAAGGAACCAAGGAGCACTCTCGTGATGATGTGTCCCTTGCAACCCGCTCAAACGACCGGCTCAAGGAAGGAACCAAGGAGCACTCTCGTGATGATGTGTCCCTTGCAACCCGCTCAAACGACCGGCTCAAGGAAGGAACCAAGGAGCACTCTCGTGATGATGTGTCCCTTGCAACCCGCTCAAACGACCGGCTCAAGGAAGGAACCAAGGAGCACTCTCGTGATGATGTGTCCCTTGCAACCCGCTCAAACGACCGGCTCAAGGAAGGAACCAAGGAGCACTCTCGTGATGATGTGTCCCTTGCAACCCGCTCAAACGACCGGCTCAAGGAAGGAACCAAGGAGCACTCTCGTGATGATGTGTCCCTCTCAACCGGCTCGAACGACCGGCTATGGATAACCAAGGAACGCTCTACTTATTAAGGGTCCCTCTCAACCTGCTCAATCGACCTGGCTGTTGCCGACCTGTGGCTTCGCAAGTGAATGAGACCAACCATGAAAGCCCGTTGCCACCCGTCTTTAATACTAGTATCGCTCCTACTACCCTATTAACAGCCGTTGCCCCTATTAGCACAGTACTACAACTACGATCAGTAGCATGGCTGTAATAATATCGCTAGCACACGCAATCACGTGCGATACGGAGCTGGAGGGAGGAGGTACTTTTTAGTGAGGCACACTTGGTTGGTCGGGTGCGGCTACCGGCACGAGCACTAAATTACAGGTCTAAGTCACGATTACTAGGTCAAACTTCTGTCTTGAAAGAATCATGTAGGACATTGCACCAACACTAACTACTACCTGCACAAGCACTGGTTCGAGGAAGGAGGGTAGTACTAACTAGAGCATTTCGGTAGCTGCACTGGAAGCATTGGTGCGAGGGGTACCTTGAGAGGCGTTGATCCGTTGCGCTTGGCACGGAGAGACTAGGACAGCAAGCCAAAGCGCGGCAGAGAGTGCAAGCCATGCTCGCGGCTGCATCGCAGTTGGCTTTGGCGGCGGCATTTGCGGCGCGGAGACTGACTGCTCTGTTACTACCACCACTACCACTAATAGTACTACCTCTGGTGGTGACGTTACAAGATGTCACGGTACAAATCTACTAGTAAAGGTGTTGTAGGAAAACCAGACTAGACTTCGAAGGTGTTGAGGGATGGAAATTGCCGCCTACACATCACTGAGTGGCTGCTTGGTGACGTGATAAAAGAAGTGTTTTGAGACGTCTCCAAACACTTCTTTTATCATAAGGGATAAGAATTGCCTACACAGCACTGAGTGGCTGCTTGGAGAGGGTCCAGAGAAGCAGTGCTGCCTGTGTCACGTTTCGAAATCCCAAGGAATGCGCCCAAGCCTGGGAGGAGGTTTCTGTCAGACGGAAGGGGCCCAGTGCACGCAGGATCCTCACCTCACCTCACCTCTCACACGAGTTGCCTCGTCCATCCCTCCGAACCTAACCTCGAACTCAAGACCGCCGAGCCTGCAAGTCTTCGGAACAACGGAAGGACTTGGGTCATGCTTCCTGCTGCGTGCGATTTCGTCCTTCAAACTCAAGTGCAAGAAGGGAAAAAATAGGTTTTGGCGGTGTTGCGTTGGCACGTCACGTGCGATAATTTTTTTTTTTTTTTGCGAATCTTCACTACTGTACAGTTCCGTTCCGTATTCAAAGGGTCGTGTTGATGACGTCGCACTTTGCTAACTACAGACGGGCAGTGAGATCCCACTTTGCCCAGTAAGTCTTCACTCACGCTTAGAAGATGTGGAAATGCCTCAGGAACTCCTTCACGTTGATTTTCAAAAAGTTGCGCCAGGGAGCCGGCTGGAGCCATCATCCCCCGCCCGCATCGCACTTCTTTCAGCATGGCTGCTTCACTGTGAGTGGATTTGCTTGCTCCTCACAGGTTCCGCTTCAGACAATGCGCAATGGACGGCTATTGAAGCTGCCAAATTATGAGGGGCTCTGTGGCGAGGCGAGGACAATTATCACCTGGAAAGTCGTCTCCTAGCGAACAGATTGGCTGCTCGCACCCAGATTTGCCTAGACTAACGATACCGGCTTATAACGAGATACTATCTCGAATATAATGTAATTGTGAACTAATCTAAAGAGGAATAGAATTCAGCAAATATCTCAATCTCATATATAATTGAACTAATTAGCTTTCATGGTGTCTATCTGATTTCCCAACTTTCATGTAGCCACATGTAAACATATATGACTATATCATGGGAACTATCATATTAAATTCCGATTCAAGCTTTCTGACAAACTCACATAATTAAACAAAATAATATCTTTGTACCATACAAGCACTGTCAGAACATTATAGCTTATGCATTATGTGCAGGCTGTAGTGGGGTAGCCCATAAGAGGTACAACCCAATTAGGGTTAGTACTTGTACCCAACCCTTTCATAGTTCATTCATTCTCGTTTCAGTTTTCTCATGGTATCGGAGCGAGCAGACTCACCAGCACCTGAGGAAGCAGGCGCACTAGCACCTAGAGCAGCAGCATCGCTAGCACCAAGAGCAGCAGTCTCAATGCCCGGGCCGGGCGGAAAGCACCGGTAACAGTCACCCTCATCACTAATAGTCACAGCATACATGGCAGCAAGAATAGCATCAAAGTCAAGGTCAAAGATAGCTACTCCCGCCCTAGACAGCTCACCCCAGCGGGGGATCTCAGTGGCCTCGGGGAACTGGTGACGCCAAGCGTCCGTCAGGCGGCCAAAGCAGCGCTGGGTGGGGTGCGCACCCCTACACTGCTCACCCGCGCGGTCGCCGGTGCGTAGGACGTAGGTGCACGGACCAGCCCCCCCACCCCGCTGGCGTGCAGCGTATCACTCACGGAGCTGCTGAGGGGGGGGGATGTCACGAGTGCGCTGCTGCTGCTGCTGGCGTTGACCACTACCTGAGCCGACCCTCTGCGCAGCGCCACCCCGACCAGCTCCGCCTCCTCCGCCACCGCCTCCTCCACTGCCGCCACCTCCGCTACCTCCGCTCCCACCGCCACCACCGCCGCCTCCTCTGCCTCCACTGCCGCCACCTCCACCTCCACCCCCGCCGCCACCCCCACCGCCACCCCCACCCCCTCCGTCGCCTCCACCGCCGCCTCCACCGCCCCCGCTAGCTCCGCCAGTGCCCCTGCCCCCCTTGCCCTTGCCTGGGCGGCGCTTCCCGCTCGGGGTAGTCGCCGCACCGACCGACTCCAGACCAACAAGGTCGGCCGCAGCAGCAGAGGCAACAGAGGGCAAAAGGGGGGAGGGGGAACACCCCTCAAAGATGGGGGAGCGAGGGTCATCACGAGAGGCTCCTACAGCTACTATGCTCTTCTCCGCTGCTAGGAGGGCCTTCTCGAGGAGGTCGACGGTGAGAGTGGTGGGGAAAACTGAGAGGAAGTGGTCCCTGACTACTCGAAGGGAGTCAGGGAGCCGGGTGACTATGTAGTAGAGGGTGATGTACATGGGGGGGAGGGTTCTTGGCGCAGAACTCAGTAGGAAGCGTAGCGCGGTAGCGAGTATCACTAGTGCGGAGGTGCGTAACGAGGTCAGCGACTGTGGGAAAGGCAGCAAGGTCAGGGAAGAGGTACTGTAGCATGAGGCGGCTCAGTGCAACTACAGCGTCGTACAAGGTCTGAGCACTCTTGTACTGACTAAAGTGCGCACGCTCAGAGGTAGGCAGGTGGCGACGCACAGCAAGACGTGCAGCAGCATCGCGTGTGGCCCACTGTGAGCGAACAGTGGCGTCGGCATCAGCAGCAGGGGCAAGAGAGGCACCAGAGGTGAGGTCAAAGAGAGAGAGACCGTCTGCCCTATCGCACTGTAGGAAAAGCTGCAGTTCGTCTACCCAGACGTCAAAGTCAATGGCCCGCCCCTCAGCGTCAAAAGTGAGGACACTAGGGGTAGCCATGACAGTAGTAGATTAGCAGCTCAAACAGCAGGGTAAGGGCAGTGCACTGACAGAGGCGTTGCTCTTACCGGACAGGGCGGCTCGGGCGGCTTGTCGGCTCGGCGGCTCGGCAACTCGGCGGCTCGGGTGGCTCGGGCGGCTCGGGTGGCGGACGGCTCGGCAGCAGATGACAGCGCCGGCGGCTCGGTGACGGCGGCGGGGCCGGCAGAGGGGGTGCCGGGGCCGCAGGTAGGCGACGGGGCCAGCAAGGGTGGGGCCGGGCCAGGTACTGCGTCGGCTTCGGCCTCCCTCACCTTCACCCTTGACTCGGGGGCTTCTCTCTCCTTCTTTCGAGACCGCACCACACTCACGCCGCTTAGTCGGCCAGTTGCAGTCTCTCTGGCGGACCCCTCTGGGGGTCCTGTCCTTGCTCACTTCTCCACTGTCCTCCCGTGTCCGGCAGCTCCCTCTGGCACCCTGTCTGTTCTTTACCTCCCTTCGTTCTCTACGAACATGGTGAGTGGTGCTGACCTACAGGATGGGGGAGTTCACCAGTTCACTCCTGCGCGCCAGCGAGTGACCCACTTCACGGACGCTCCGACGGGCCGACACTTGGCCACGTTTACACGTCAGCCGGGGTCGAGCCTGTACACACTGACCACTGAGTCTCCTCCTGTCCCTGTGTCTGGTCAGGTAGCTGCGTCTTGTCAGGTGTTTGCTGCAGCGTCCAGGTCTGGTCGTGAGTCTCCCCCCTGCTCCTGTCGCCTCATGTCTCACGAGACTCTCCTCTGGCACCACCGCCTTGGTCACCCCTCTCTGTTTCGTCTCAGAGGCATGGTCACCCCTCTCTGTTTCGTCTCAGAGGCATGGCCTCCCGTCTCCTTGTTTCTGGTCTTCCCCGGTCCCTCCCTCCCCTTCTTCCGGGGCCTTGCCCTACCTGTGTCCCCTGTGTCGAGGGGCGCCAGCGTGCTGCCCCTCACTCCTCCTAGTTTCCTCTGACAGAGGCCCCGCTGGAGACGCTTCACATGGACGTGTGGGGCCTGGCCCGCGTCTGTGGACAGGGTCACGAGCGCTACTTCCTGCTAGTGGTTGACGACTACTCGCGTTACACCACAGTCTTCCCCTTGCGCAGCAAGGGTGATGTCACTGAGGTGCTGATCGACTAGATCCACGCAGCTCGTCTCCAGCTGAGGCAGAGCTTCGGCTCGGACTTTCCTGTTCTGCGTCTGCACTCGGAGAGAGGCGGAGAGTTCTCCTCTGGCCTTCTGCGGGCCTATTGTCGTGCACGAGGCATCCGTCAGACCTTCACGCTTCCGGACTCTCCACAGCAAAATGGGATTGCTGAGCGCCGCATTGGCATGGTCATGGACGTCGCTCGTACGGCCATGATGCATACGGCTGCCCCCCATTTTCTGTGGCCGTTTGCGGTTCGATACGCGGCGCATCAGATCAACCTTTACCCCAGGGTCTCCAGGCCGGAGACCTCCCCAGCCTTGCTGTGGACGAAGAAGGTTGGCCATGCGTCTGCGTTCCGTGTC